GATAAAGTAATTAATGAATATTTTCATGTCTTTATTTGTTATTTTAGATTTTTGAGATTGTGTGTGGAGCCAACTTAATTCTTCAATTTTTAATTCATATTTTTTGCATTAGTGATGTGAAAAAATATTGTAAATAGTAGAAAGTTCAGAAATATAAATTAAAAAAAAAAAACTTATTGCCAAATCATTTGTGCCCCTAATATAACAATGAATAATTTAACAAAGTAAAATAATAAACAATTAAACTAAATTAAAGAAAAACCAGTAAGCATCTTTTCCTCCATGAAGTATGAACCCTTTTTAGTTGCCAAAAGGGCTATATAGTTATATAAACTTTGATCTCACTACTTCTAGCGGTAAAATACGAAAAAGTTTGTTGAAAATCAACGGCAGATAAAAAAGAAAGTGGAAATCATGTAAGTTCTGGCAGTCTCAAAAGCAGAAAAGGCAAGACTAAGCTAAAATGTCATCACGCAGAAAAGAACAAAAAGGAAATCCACAAATATCATCAGATGGAGAAATACCCAGAACCTGTGTGGTCAAAACAAGATAAGAAACAAACAAGCCAAAGCCTAAAACTAGCAATCTGATTCTGATGAAACAACAATTTCAGAATCAACCAACACGAACCTGCATGTTTTGCAAGATGATGAGACTCAGCATCTTCCCATTTACTAAGTTTCTCTCCACATTTGCAACAACTCGCAGAGGAAGACCCATTTGAATCAACCTCAATTGAGAACCTTCTGCTTGTTACAAATCCTCCTCCCGAGTCTGATACGAGAAAAGGAGATGATGACTTCTTCGGAGTAGAAGAAGCACTGTTCCTGAACGAAGACGGAGTTCCAGGCCTTAGAGTGCCCAGGAATGCTGAGCGTCCGTCGCCGCCGCCGGAGATTTTGAGCTCGCAGGTGGAGTTGCTGAGAATGACTTCATGGGTAATTGGGTTGAGGAACTCGCTGCTTCCGATGGATCTCGGGCTGCAACTCGGAGGCTTCTCGAAGTGCCTCCTGCTGTTTCCTCCATTAATGACGTCTTTGAGATTGGCGATGCTTCTGGAACACCCGGATCTTCTTCCGGGTTGTCTGGTGGAGATTGCGCTTAAATGGTTCGTCGATTTTGGGGCGTGAACATCTGAAGTTTCTGTTTTGCAGTGAAGAGATCTTTTCAGAGAGAACCACACTCTTGGCATCTTACGCTTAGACTTTGAGAAATTCTTCTGAATTAAGCGGAGGTGAAAAGAAAAGATACCCACATCGCAACACTCTCTTTTTGCCGGAAAGTTTCTTTCTTTCTCCGGGAAAATGCGGGGTGGAGGGAAAGGAATGAGAAAGTTGGAGGCTTCAGAGTCTTGAGCTGCGAAGAACTGAGAGATTTTGAAGCGGAGGGAAAGGGAGCGAAGGGGGAATGAAATGAACGGAGCAGAGGAGAAAGAAAGTGTTAAATAATGGGAAATTTGATAGTTAAATAATAAGCATTTATTATGTGGAGAAGTTTGAGAAGGTTAAGGAACTTGGGCTTCGGGAAAACAGGATAACAAACCTGGAGAAACCTTGTTCAGCGGCGCCATTCAGTGAGAAGGATTATATAATTTGATGAGGCGTATAAGAGATAAATAAATATGCCCAAATTATATGGATAATTAATTTATAAAAATTAAAATAATTAGTTGGCTTAGTTATCCATGAAAAAAAATGTATTCATGTTTTAAAATGTCACTTTGAGATAAAAGCCTATGCAATTAATTTGTGATAAAAAAATTATAAATCATTTCGCGAAACACTTTTAAAAAGTCAAAAGCTGTTTGAATATTTTTTTTTAATTTTTAAAAAATCATTTACAGTATATTTTAAAGCCCACTTACTAAAATATGATCTGCTTTATTTTTTAAAAGCTATTTTCAATTTTCGAACAACTTTAAATTACTATATATTTATAATGATAAAAACTAATCTGAATCACTTACTAATCTGAATTTTATTTAAAAAAAATACATCTAAACATAAATTAAGTTTTGGCGAATGGACTTTTAATGAGAAAAATATTATGCATGTGGCAGAATATGATATGAATTAACTGACTTTTTTAGTTTCAACTGCGAATTATCCGAAGTCAATAATTTCATTAGCCAAGAAATAATTTTCTTCCGAAAATAAAACTATTTAATGTATACCTGGTATTACTAGCTTCGCTCCTTTATATAAAATCTTGTTTGATTTTTATTTTGGTTATAAATATAAAACCTCAATCTTTGGATTGGAATCTTATATTTAGAATCAAAATAAAAATCAGATAAGATCTTATATTAAAGATCGGAGGTAGTATAGGAAATCAAACATGAAGTGGGCCAAAACATATGTCATATCACCCCCACGAAAAAAAAAAAAAAACCACCATAATACACAGACCGGAGAGTTATTCTTACCCCAAAAAAAAAAACAGCTTATGATAATATGGTTCCCGTCATGTACTTGATTACTATGTTTCAAATCAGATTCGTTCTATACACTTTAATGCATCTGACTTAAAAATAACAAAATATTTTTATAGCAATTTCTCATCTAAAATTATGCAATCTTCATGTTTTTTTTTTTTGGGGGTCATTTTCCCTTAAAATTTAGTTAGCAAGTGATATGTCAATACCACTATAAGCTGTGTTCTCACTTTAGATTCGTTTTAATAAGAATGATAAGTTTTTGTTTTTTTGTTTTTAAGTAGTACTTTATTGATATTCTCCTTATCTCTAGAGTAGTTCTTTAATCTTGATACGCATGAATTTGGAAGGATGCAGTAGTGAAATATTCATCTGATTCCAAATATAAGATATTTTTTTAAGTATAAATTACACTACAAAAGAAGTCTTATATATACACTATAAAAAAGAGTCTTATATTTAAACCAGAAGAGTATTTAATTTCGTTTTATATTTGGAAATTCCCGTATCAAATCTTTAAATATAATAAGTTCAACATTTTAGGTATTTACATCTATTTAATGTCTGATCTTGAGCATCACGACTGCTTCTAATTGAAAGATATTTATGATGCCGAAAGAATCGTAAAGGCAGAAATGATATCATACGATTCTCTGGTGATAATACCAAAGATATTTTTGAGTAAATTATACTCCTCCGGTCCTAATTATAAGACTCAATTGACTTATTTGAGGAGATTAAGGAAGTAAGTTAAGTTGGTTATTTATAATAAATAAGTGTTATCATTCCTAAAATATCCTTACTAATTAAGTATATTGGCTAAAACTATCATCATTAGAAGGATTATCTTGGAAAAAATGCATAAATATAAGAGACAAAATGGATTGGGGTCTTATAATTAGGACCAAATAAAAAGTCAAATGGGGTCTTATAATAAGACCGAGGAGTACTTTTATTTTGTGAACAGTATATTTTTTATGACCAGGTAATAAGACGTAAACTTATACTTTTATTCCCTAAATTATAATTATAATCCAGCCCAGGTTTGGTAAAGATCCACATATCATTGAGGCCCAAAACCAATATCTATATTCCGTGACCTGCCAATAATATTTACTTCACAAAAATAGGGCCATTGGTTTCTCCAATCCAAAACACAAACACACACAGATGGTAAATACCAGTACTAGGTAAAAAAGAGGTGCCAAAGAAAAATAATAATAATTATGATTAGGTTTATTTAATTTGATTTATTCCCAACAAGTCTTAAAAGAGTTGGGAATAGTAAAAAAAAAAAAAATTATAAACTTGTTTCAATAGCTTGTTTGTGTAAATGCTTATGTTAAGGGGTTATAATCACTTTTACATAAATCGAAATAGAAACTCATTTCATGTACTTATTGCTTACTTTATATTTCATAAATTATGATTGAATAATTTATTTTGAAGGCTTAAATCATCATTTCAAACTAGTCTATATGTTTGTCTGGAACTGTTTATCATAAATACGTTTACATGAATGGAGAATATACTCACCTTATGGTAAATCATAATTAAAAAGTTGTTTTTAAATGTTCTAACAGTGAATCAAAACAAGCCAACCACTTTAACTTACTTGAAATCGTTACCTAACTATTGATTAGCATTTCAATTGGATATACCTGAAGTCTGCGTCACGTTATATTCTGACGAGAAAGAAATAACAAAAATCCTTTAATTATACCAGTAACTTGCAATTACACGGACATTTAGCTCTGTTGTGTCTGAAACAAGATTTGCTCCCCTTTTTGCCGCGGAATACATCTCAAACAGCACGTAGTTGGCTAAATGGTATGACTCAAGAATTAAAAAATGGCGTTTGAACACAAACGCTATGCTCTTTTTTTCTAAAAGATCCTTCGGTTACTAGCATTGCATCAATTCAGCAGTATTAATTTATTTTATAACTCAAATTTTCTGTCAAGGATCTGAATCCTTCTACTTGACCGAGAGATCTTGACTATTAGTATTAGATTATAATCTAGCGTGTTGGGAAGAAGTTGTGAAACTAAGAAAAATCCAAATCTGATAAAGTTTAGGCTAAAGTATACTTTTAATCTTTTAACTTTACATAGAATTTCATTTTAGTCCTTTAGTTTTAAAAAGTAAACTTTTAGTTCTGTAACTCTAAAACTGTTAACAAAAATTGATGATATTGAGCTATTTAATACTGATAAAATATTACTAAACGCTAACATATTAAGTTTAATATTCAAAACAACTATAATTGTTACAAAAAATCATCATTTAAGACTAATAATTTTAGAAAGACTACAATTACTTCAAATTGTATTTTGAAAACAATCTAAGGAGGTGTTTGTCCAAATCATAATTTGGGTAAAAGATTGCCCAAACACCCATCCCAAATCAACAACCATGATTTTGTCAAAAGTGTTTTGAATCTGCTTGTGGCAAAAAAAAAAAAAAAGGAGTGTCAGATGGTTTGCCAACGGATATGACACATATACCCTCAATTATTCATTTATTTCATTCTCTTTCGCCTTTGGTCCCTCGCTCTCCATTCCAAATGGCTGGTTCCTTTCTTTCATGCTTTGCCTTGCTCTCTCTCCCTCTCTCTCTCACAGCTTTCTCTCTCTTCGCAGGTAAGGGATGCTTAGCAAAGCGAGGAGACACGCTAACCACCCCGTTTTATGCTTCTAAATTCATTTTTGTTACATAAATAAATAAATAAATTTAATGGCCAATTCTCTTATCTTATAATATATATTCACCAATCAGTCATTTTTCTCAACTCTAATATGGCCTTGTTTCTCATATCTTTAATCTTATATTTTATAAAAAAATTTACACATGTAGTAACAATTAATTAATTAATTATATTAAAGATAAGAGGTAGTATGCTGTTATAAAAAACTAGTAAAAAATGTTATAGAATTTCATGTTTAAAATCTTTAAAGCAAATTAATATTTTTTATGTTAGAAAAAAAAGTAATCATTTTTCTATAAACATATTTAAACTTATAACTTATAAATATATACATATATTAATTATTTATTAATTATATTATCTTATATATTATTAATTATGTTAGTAAAAATTATTTTATTCCTTCAAATTAAAATATATTATAAAATCTATCTTTTATGTAATTATCATATTAACTTATGCCATTTTTAGTGATTTGTACATATAAAAAGTGCCTCTGATAATAACTATCTAAATACTCTCACTTTATCAGAATCACTTTTATCACAAAATCTATTATTCACAAACCATAGTTTTTCAAGAATATATTTTTCAGAAGTTATTCTCCAAATTATGGTTTGGTTTCATTCAAACACCCCCTAAATCTTTATTTGGATTAACGTTGAAATAACTTATAAACATTTTTTATATAAGTTGAGATAAAATTTATTTCACATACTTACTTTAAAAATTAATAAAATGTTTTATTTATTAAAAAAGGGCCCTAGGCCTTTGTTTAATTGGCCTAAAGGACCAAAAAAAAATGGGGCCAGTGTTTTACATGATTACCCGCTAATTAAAACTGATTAATTATATTTAGATCTCCGGGAAAAATGCTTATATTTAGTGTTGACAGTGTCTTAAATAAAATTACCCCCAATGAGAGGATATCTTTGTCTAAAAAAAAGAATTGATTAACTATAATATTCTTGCAAGCATCCCATATCCGCGAAAATGCAAAAACAAAAAGGGGCTAAACTTTTTAAAATGGCATTGTTAGTATATAAACTTATATTTAAACGTCTAATAATTTACTCAATCTTAATTTCAAATTTGATTAATTTAACATAAAATATAAAATTTTTATAGTAAAACATATTATTTATAGTTTGTTAATCATCAATATAAATACAAAAGCCTCTACTTTTTTTTTTTTCCCCCGATTTGAATATCAACACCTTTTTTTGGGCCGGCGAAACTGAATAATTCACCACATATATAAAAAATTTAATGAAAAAGATCTTCAATAAATCATGCAGTTCATAAAGGAAGAATGACATCAATAATATTTTAAACTTATATTCCTCCGTTTCTTAATATAGGATCTAATTATGAAGTTAATTTTGATTTTAAATGTAAGACTTATTTTCATATTTATTAATTTTTTCTAAATTACTCTTATAATTATTCCTTCCACTATAATCAAGTAAAAGAAGGAAAATGAATATTAAGAAAAATGATTATGGTATTTCAGGAAAAGTATGATATGTTTTTTTTATAACTAATTAACTTATCTAACTTTTTAATCTAATTAAATTAGAAAAATATGTCTTATATTAAAAATTGAAGGAGTATTATTTATAGTAACCGTGTCTAATTTCTTTTTTTTTTTTTTGGTGAAATAACCATGTCTAATTGTAAGTACATGTGGGGGACCAAACAAGTAATAATAAACATAGTTACTTTTTGGGAGAATTATAATTAGGTCTCACTCAAAGGAATTAAATACAAAAAGATCCCGTAAAATTATGAAATTATCCTAAAGTCCCAAAAGACCTTTTTGCAATAAATTTTATTTATTTAATTACCAAATTATCCTTTTTTTTAATTTGTATTGACAACTGAGAGAGCAGTAGTTGACAACTCAGGGTACAAGGATTGACAACTATCACGGTTGGTTTGACAACTTGTTAAACCAGTCGCGATAGTTGTCAATCTTTGTATCTTTAGTTGTCAACCACTGCTCTTTCAATTGTCAATGTAAACTTTAAAAAAAAAAGAATGGTAATTTGGTAAGTGAATAAATAAAATTTAATGCAAAATTTTTTTAAAACTTTTAAAATAGTTTTATGATTTTAATAGACTTTTTTGTATTTAATTTTTTTGAGTGGGACCTATTTGCCATTTCCCTTCACTTTTTTGGCAAAAAAATAATCATAGTTACTTTAGTCATTCTGTCAGCGCAGAAAATGATCGTGGCGTTTTGTCATTTTATGACGGCTGCCAAACGAACAAGACAGTCTTCGATCACATCCCCAAACCTAATCATAACCGTCCATGTCCTGGCTAATCTGACGGCAATCATTGTCGATCCGAGTACTTCATTCTCATTGGCGTAAACTAATTCCAACCTACTATATATTAAAGGAGCGATCCTACCACTCCTCTTCATTCGTTTTTCTCCGCTGTCCCGCTCCGCGAAACTCTGTTCCGCATCCGGTATCCCTTTGCCGATCAATTTCTGCAATCGTAAAGCTCAGCGATGGCTTGGTCGGGGGAAAACCTTAGGATCTGGCGCTTCCAAGAAGGCTACGTCACGAAGCAGCAAAGCTGGTCTGCAATTCCCTGTTGGTCGTATCGCTCGGTTCTTGAAGGCTGGAAAGTACGCCGAGCGAGTCGGTGCCGGTGCTCCCGTTTATCTCGCTGCCGTCCTTGAGTATCTCGCTGCCGAGGTAAATTACCTTCATTAATCGCCGATATTTCCTTTTGCCTTTGAATACTCGTGATTTCGCATGTTTTAGGTATAGGGTTTCTAATTTGGGATCAGATTTCCCAATTTTTCATGAATTTTGGGCGTCTAATCAATTTTGCCTTCTAATATCAAATCTGGGATTTTAAATTCGAATTTGAATTTTCCTGGATGCGTCCCCTGAGGTTGAATATCTGGAATTTCAGGTTCTTGAGTTGGCTGGAAATGCCGCAAGAGATAATAAGAAGACCCGTATTGTGCCTCGCCATATTCAATTGGCGGTTAGGAACGACGAAGAACTCAGTAAGCTTCTGGGAGATGTGACAATTGCTAATGGAGGTGTGATGCCCAATATTCACAATCTACTACTCCCCAAGAAGACAGGAGGCTCATCGAAGGGCGCTGGTGCTGATGATGACTCTTAAATTTGAGGCTCGCCAAGCCTTTGTCCTCGATCTTACGTGATTCACTATCTAATGTAGTTTTTATTTTGATTTTTCTTACTTCAATATGAGGATTGATCCTTTGTGCTCTGTCGACTTAGTTGTAGCTTTAGTTAGGGTTTCTGATTGTATTGTGAATAGAAATTGTCTTCCTTATGATTCCTTCAACGAAGATATTGTTGAAATTTTAATTATTTTCCCCCCCTTCCATTCCGATGTGGCCTTCGTGCCTATTTAGGAGTTAATTTGTTAAAATGTCTAAATCTTTGCTCTGGCCTTCTTACTCCTATGAACGTTTGAAGTCTGAATTTTTAGATTACTGACCGTGAAAAAGCAAGTTACATGCGCATGCTAATTGACGCGCTTGCGCTTGCTTATACACCATCAGTGGTGGAGTCTTTACTGTTGATTTATGTGTCTTTGCATTTAACATGGGAAATCCGGAAACTTTTTTTGCCGGCCTTTCTTTTTGTTCATTCTCGTATCCCGGCCATTTATTGTGGAGTGAGTGAAGTGGAATTCAATTCAAGTTTGGTTTGATGCCTTGAGATGTGGCAAAAGAGGGGGGGGGGGTAGCATGCAGTGGTTTGTAGGTCGAACAGATCATGTG